GTTCAAAAGTGGCTTGACCTGGGGAATGCGGCACCTGTAGCCCATTTCCTGCACACGCCTGTGCATGGTGGCTCTGGATGTTTCTACTCCAGACTCAGTCCACTGCTTCCGCAGGTCCCCCAAGGTCTGGAATCGGCCCTTCTCCACAATCCTCCTCAGGGTCCGGTCACCTCTTCTCGTTGTGCAGCGTTTTCTGCCACACTTTTCCCTTCCCACAGACTTCCCACTGAGGTGCCTTGATACAGCACTCTGGGAACAGCCTATTCATTCAGCAATTTCTTTCTGTGTCTTACCCTCTTGCTTGAGGGTGTCAATGATGGCCTTCTAGACAGCAGTCAGGTCGGCAGTCTTACCCATGATTGCGGTTTTGAGTAATGAACAAGGCTGGGAGTTTTTAAAAGCCTCAGGAATCTTTTGCAGGTGTTTAAGGTTACGTCGTTGATTCAGATGGTTAGGTTAATAGCTTGTTTAGAGAACCTTTTCATGATATGCTAATTTTTTGGGACAGGCATTTTGGGTTTTCATGAGCTGTATGCCATAATCATCAGTATTAAAACAATTAAAGACCTGAAATATTTCAGTTGGTGTGCAATGAATCTGAAATATATGAAAGTTTCATTTTTATCATTACATTATGGAAAATAATGACCTTTATCACAATATGCTAATTTTTTGAGAAGGACCTGTATATAAACACCATAGACTGCAGCTGGGACACAAAAAAAAACACTTTCAATAAACTAAAATAATTATACACTAAACTTATCTACAAATATAACTGATTTTGATGTTTTAAATAAATAAAACGTTAAGTTGGTGTAAATGTGGATAAATTTACAGTAGGATTTACACCACATCATTAAAATATTTCTCATTTTGACTTAAGCTTTTGATAATTATGATCGTTTTACAGAATATCATGATGTTTCGAGCCCCGCAGCTCAGACAGAGGAGGTGAACGTTGTGTCAAAGATGTTTAAAGAACCAGTTTGTTTAAACACAGATTAAATATTTGACCCTAACCCTTTGGAGAAAGAAAATAATGTTAGCAACACATCAAATACTCAAGTATTCACTACATGAACTGAAAGCTTTACAATCAAACTCCTTGGAGTGAAATAAAGTGATTTTATGACTGAGCTCTGTCAGTCTGGCAACATAAAGTAACTATTTTCAAGGATTCAAGGATTTTTTATTGTCATACCAGCTCACATGTTTATGGTACAAAATTTGGACTCAGGTCCCAGATCAAGAAGCCTAACACTTAATAAATAAATAAATGCAAAAGAGTATATATATATATATATATATATATATATATATATATATATATACACAATACATAAAGTTTAAAAATGTAAGATTTTGAATTTTGATGACCTGTGAAATAATTTTTTAAAACATTCTACACCATAACAGTAAAAAACACATTTAAAAAAACAATAAAAAAACTTTTGCAGTGGTAAAAGTACTTGAACATTACATCATTATGTTTCCCTCATGTACGTTTTTAAATGTGAATTTTCTTCATTTTGAAAACTTGATCTTAGAGAAAACACGCCTCCAGTCTTCAAACTTAACCGTTGTTAGAGGAAAATAAGCAACTATAGTGATTTATTGTTTTGTGCATTCCTTAAATAGGTTCAGGTTGCTACGAGTCATTACAACGTTAGTTCCACCTGCTACATGTTCCCACCTGGGCGGCATGACAGCTTAGTGTTTAGCAATGATGCCTCACAGCAATAAGGTCACAGGTTCAACGCCTGGTTTTGACCTGGGGAGTTTGTATGTACTCCTCATTTTTGCATGGGTTTTCCTCCCACAGTCCAAAAACATGCATGTTAAACCAGACAGTGTTCCTGGTTTAAATAAAGTTTGGTAAAATAAAATAAAAACATTGAGCAGCAATGTTTGGCCCTCCACAGGGGTGCCTACCTCACAGTTTGCAAACTACTGCTCTAAACTGAGGCTGTTCTTAAAATCTAAGTACAACAGGTAAGATATTACTTCTTTGAACCTCTCCACAGAACCCCACTTCTAAAACATCCGAACTATTTCTTTAACGTACAAAGAAGACGTCCAGCAGACTGTTTGGGAGAGGCGGCCATGATGTTGGACGCCACATCTGCACAGAGAAACCAGCGATCTGAGATCTGAAGAGGCTGGTAAAGATTCAAGGGGTGAGCGGGAGCGACGCCTCCCTCTGTGGCAAAATGGAGGCAAAGCGCAGAGAACGGAGGAGGGCTCACGCGCCCAAACCTCCGGAGACTGTCCCACAATCCCATCCATCTGCGACTGACGCACTCTCTGTCTCTGGCGTTTTAATTCCCCGATCAAGTTCATCAACCATCTGTTCCAGGCCGGTCCAGAAAGCCAGTCTCGCTTCTCTGATTCAGCTGTTGTCACACAGTGTGGCACCTGCACACACACACACACACACACTTCTGCATGCCCATAGATGCAGAGAGAGGGTGTGGGATGACAGCATAACTCCCCAGACAAGTCAAGTCTGGAAAGATAATGGAGCCAGTGGGAGGACGGTGAGGTTCAGCTGTCTCACCCCCCTCCAGGAGCGAGCTGTGAGGGGTGAGGCGGCTCTGACAAGAAGCAACAGAGAAGGGAGGAATGCTGACGGTGGAAGACAGGGGACAGGTGGTCCCAACCACCATTTCCTGTTTCAGAGGGAGGGACGCGCAGGAACTCTAAAACCTCATTAAAGAGCTGAAGAAGAAGGCTCCTCATTAAAACAAGCTGCATTTTCTGCTGCTCCAAACGGTCAAGAAGTGCAGCTGAAAGCTCCAAAACAAGACGCTGGGCGGCTAAAGAATGACAGAGAAAAATATCCCTGATTTCAACATTTGTTTACTTTGTGAGGATGGGTATTTCTCGCATGCTGACACCTGTAGCTTTACCTAAAGAGACTGTAGGAGGGCAATGATGCAACAACCGGCCTGCAGCTGCTACAGCTCACCACCAGAGGGCGCAAAGAGCAACACAGTCTCTCACCTGACATCTGGGTCAGGAACACAACTCCTCTTCTAATGGGAGCTGTGGTCATGAAGATAATCTCAACAGTAGTCACACATGCGTACAGCACGATTCACAAACACAGTTTTTTCAAATGAACACGTTACAAATTGCAAGAAAAAAAATATTCTGCACACAAAAATGGTCAAATGCACGTTCATCCATCACCTGCACACGGATCAGCTGCCTCTGACTTCAGAGACTTTCTCGCAGCTCCACAAAGGTGATGCTGCGTTCATGTCTAGTGAAAAGCTGGGACATTGGAACGTCACCAGATTTACTGTTATTGGGAAGACTCGTTTCTAACTCGTCACAGAAACTCATAACCTTCACGTAGTTTCATATTAAACTACATGAAGAATATAACACACGTATGTGTTTTAATATACAGGTTATGAGCTGCAAGTCAGAAATTGGTCTTTTCCCAATAACTCAATAAATGTGGTGACGCTCAGATGTCCCAGCTTTTCTGTAGCCTTGAACGCAGCATCACCTTCGTGGATCTGGAGGTAAAAAAAATATGAAAAGTCACATTCACAGGCGCAGCAGATGATCTGTGCATGTGTATTTGACGTTTTGTAAGCGCAGAATGTGCGTTCTGAAACGTGTTCATTTGAAAAACTGTTTGTTAATCTTGCTGCACGCATGTGTGACTACTACTGGGACTAATTTATGTCCATACTCTAGTCCAGGGGTGCCCAAACTTTTTCCCTGAGAGGGCCAAATTTAAAATCTATCAGAGGGCTGCGGGCCAAATGAAATAATATATGAAATGCAAATACTTGTTTAAATAAAGTCCATTCATTTATTATACAGCTATTTAACTTTCTGTTCCATATAAAGAACATTACAGAACAGATGGTGGTGGGGGGTCTGAGGGTCCTCCCCCAGAGAATATTGAGTAAAGTTGATGCCATTTCCTGTATTCTGGTGTATTTTACAAAAGTTTATTACAGTAGATTAACAAAAGTTGTAAAGTCTGTTATTACTGAAATCTCTCTGACTGCAAAGTGTTTGTAATGCAACACCGCTGCAGCTCTGCAGGTAAGAGGTGTTCACTTCAGGACAAATCGAGGTTGCTGATTGGTCAATTGCTGACATGCCTACTGGATTGATTGACAGGTGGCGGGACTCGTGCAAAAAAAAATAATTATAGATTTTATTGGCCCGTTTGAGACTGTCATCATTTATTCAATATTTATTCAATATTTTGGTGAATCTAAGGTTTGATAACTGTTTCCTTACACAATCCTAATGATGGTTTCTTTATTTTTCAGGGGTGCTGAGTTTAAATTTAAAGAGGCTCAAATCACCACTGAAACCAGTTCATTTTTACAATTTACTTTTAAACACTTTGTGTGATTTATAAGTGTGTTCTGCCAAAGGAAAATGTTATTCAGTGGCAGGAAGCTGCCGAGGGATGGTAGGAAGTCTGTCAAAATAAAATATAAAAATATAAATTATTACAATTATTTTAAAAATACATAAACTATCTACTCTACTGTGTAATCCGTGTAGTTAAATTATGGTAGTCAGGCCAACTAACAATAAAGTTAATGGGCGGAGTTAAATAGTGTAAGCACATTGATTCTTCAAAGGAAATTTTAATATAGAAATGAGGACAGCTTGGCGGGCCAATGTTGGCCCGCGGGCCACACTTTGGGCACCCCTGCTCTAGTCATTTTGGTGATACCGTTTTAATCCTCTCGTGCAGTACTGTGAGGTCTAGTGAGACAAACAGGGTTGTAAAGCTCAGAGTGTGTTTTCTGGATGACGCTCAGCTACTACCACAACAAACTTTAGCTCATTTTTGTAAAACTGACAGAGTTTTTGCTGTTTTTCTGTTTGTAGATTAAATGTGGCGGCCATCTTCAATTGTAGACGCTCATCCAATGATTATGAGAGCTTCATTAGAGTCCATCCAGTGGTGAATGAGATATTTTGCTAACAGGTGGAGCAGACTCTGACAGTTCATGGCACATTTTCCTCTGACTGAACATCAGCGGCTTCCGCTCAGAAATCCATCACAGCCGCGAGGCAGATGAGACCGTCCAGCTTGGCTCGCTCCGGCTCGGTGTGCACGGTCACCATGGCAACGCAGCCGGAGGAAGAAGAAGATGCTGTGTTGCACTCAAACATCACCACGCACGCCAGAGCACATCAGGTGCTTTTAATTTGGACTGAAATTACCTCAAAATGAGCTGCTGGATTCATAGACAGATTATTATCTTTTTATTTTAAAAAGTATCTGGGATAAAAACAAACGATAAGAGATAAAATATGAAATTAAATAGATTAAAGCAACATTGTGGAACTTTGAAAGTTATTCTAACCGACTCCGAGTCTCTTTTATTTCATATAACATGAAACATTTGCTCTCTTTAATTGGGGACTGCCAAGTAAGGCAGCACCCATTGTTATTCACCTGACAAGGGTTCCTCAACTTTAATCTAATTCTTCCGTCAACTTAAATTCAGCCTGAACTGCAACGTGTACCCCCACAAATGTTTTATCAAAACGAACGGCTCGATGCCGTGATGTGATTACTTTTATTGACGTTTCAAGTTATCATGGTGACGTAATTTGCAAACAAAGACGCCATTTTAATTTCTCATTTTTCATAGACTCTGGTTGCAAATCAAATATCCAAGATGGCCGCCTGAGCTAAAAAAGAAAAACACTGTAAATCAGACATTTTTAGAGATATTAAGCTGAAATTTGGTGTGTTTGTAGCTGAGAGGAATGCCCAAAAAATAATGAATAAAATAAAAACAAAACCATCAAGATGGCCAGCAAAGCTACCTTTAAATGGCTTTAACTCAGCTATTTTTATACATAGAGTTGAAATTTGATGTGGTGAGAACGTTCCCCATCACATACTGAATCCAAATCAAAAATCCAAGATGGCCACCATAGTTTAAAAGAAAAAAACGACTTTAACTCATTGATTTTTTTTTTTGTTTTTTTGCCATTTTGAGCTGAAATTTGGTATGGTGGTAGCTGAGCGTGAACTCCAGCACATACTGTCAAATCAAAAATTTAAAATGGCCGCCACATGGCGGTCCCTGTCAAAGTTCCTCCAGGAACTTTGCAGTGACTATTCTAGTATTTCAATCAAACGTAAAAGGAGTCAGGAGAAGTTTTTATTTCTCCATGAAAACAGGAAGATGCTAAATGTATTTCCCGTCACCTGATTAGCTTCGTTCTCCATTTGTGAGTCCTCATGACACGAATGGTTCGTTTGTTTCTGTAAAAACAGGAACAAACAGAAACGCACCTTTAAGGTGGAGGTCTCAGGCTGAGCCGGCGTCTCAGACCGGACATCTTCTGGGTCTTTTGTGCTCTTCAGGATGGTCTGGTGGCTGTAAAAATAGAACACCAACAAGTTCACTTCTGTTGTTCATGGTGTCACATCAAAGATTCATATGTTTGATATGGTTCATCACCTGTGATAAAAAAAAAAAAAAATGAATTACTGAGATTTTTACCAGCTGTTCTGTAGAACTGGTGACTTCTTCTCTTCTCTTGCAGAGCAGATAAATCTGGATCTCAGTTCGTCCACCTCTCCGATCACGATGACCGAAACGTCTCCGTCCCGACCGAGCAGCCAGCTCACACTCTTACTGTTGGCTGGAGGACACACACACAAAAGAAAGGGACATTTTGAAGGAATGCAGACGACGGAGCATCACTGCGTTACCTCAGCTCAGTTTTGACAAACACTTGATCTCTGCGGAACTCAGGTCTGAAGATTTAATTCTGAAGTTTATACATTCCAGGACTTCCTCTGTCTCTTTTCATAACGTGGAAACATCCTGAAGGCATCAGGGCCGCTCTGATCACTTTAACATGAACATGTTTTTGCTCTGAATGAGAGATGAGCTGCAGAGATGGAGGTTTCCTGTAAACACTGTGAGTGAGGCAGCGTCGCCTCCTGCTCATATTCTTCAGTATTTACAGTAATCAGACCGTCCACGTTGGACCTGTACCCAAACATGCAGCACTGAAGCCCCTTCATGTCACCGCTGCTGCTGATGATGATTTGGAAATGTGCTGAAAACAATCCCAAAAGTTTTAGTCTTTTCTTTTCGTTATGACAGGATGCTTCGATTTTAAATTTAGTTTCCTTTAATAGTGTGAATGTTTATGAAGCATTCACACTATTGTGATCTATTTTTCTTCCGTACATTGTTCTGCATCTTTCTTGTTCCACAATTTTGGTGCTATATCAACAAATCATAAATCAAAAAAGTTCAGCTTGTTCAGGAGAAGAGTGCTATGACTTTTGGTATTGGTGCAACTTTAGCTTTTTGAAACATTTAGCCTTTTCTGCCATTTTTTTCTCATAGAAAATGAATTGAGCTCATTTTACATTTGTCAAATCTTTAGATCTGTTTACAACCTTTTACAGCTCCTTTCACATTTTCTTATGGTTCAGTTTCTTTCAGTTTCTTTGTGCAAATTTAAACATTTTTTCAGCTACTTTCAGGTAATTTCAGCTGTTTTTTCATCTGCTTTATGCTCCCTTCTAATTTCTTTTGATAACTACAACATTTTTGTGCTTCTTCTGACTTCTTCATGCTAATTTCAGCTTATTTCTGCAAGTTTCAGCTTTTTCTGCTATTCTAGCTATTTTTATGCTTATTTTAGCTTTTTCTGCAAATGCCACTTTTTTCGCTCATTTAATTTTTTTCAATCTAATTCATCAAAAATGTGCTCTCTCTTCACTTCTTTATGGTAATTTAAGCTTCTTTCTGATTTTTAGCAAATTTTCAACAGTTTTTTTGTTGTTGTTGCTAATTTCAGCTTTTTTTTTTCAGATAATTTCCACTTCTTTTTGCTCCTTTCTGCTTCTTTCAGCCTATTTGGGTAAACGTTCTTTCTGCCTTCTTCTGCTAATTTAAGCTTCTTCTGCCTTTTCAGCTATCTTGTTAGCATTTTTTTAGCCATTTTGCTATTCTGCTGCTTTCAGCCTAATTAACTTCTTTATGCTAATTTTAGCTTGTTATGCTCCTTTCAAATTATTTCTGCTATTTTAAGCTATTTTTGCTATTTCAGCTACTATTTAGCCGTTTTATGCCAATTTTAACTTTTGCAGCTAATTTCACATTTTTTAGCTCATTTTAGCTCTTTCCGTTTCCTTCTGGTAGCTTCTTTCTGCTGTTCAGCTACTTTGTACTTTTTTTCTCTCATTTCAGCTTTATTAGTTACTTTCCTGATTTTATGCAAATTTCAGAATATTTAAACCATCCATCCATCCATCCACCATCTTTCACCCACTTCTTCCATTTTGGGTCACGGGGCTCACTGGTGCACATGTCCAGCAATCACTGTGCGAGAGGTGGGGGACACGCTGGACAGGTCTCCAGTCCATCACAGGGACACATCGAGACAAACAAGACAAACAACCATTCACTCACTCACACCTAGGGACAATTTAGAGTTACCAATCAGCCTAACATGCATGTTTTTGGTCTGTGGGAGGAAACCGGAGTACCCGGAGAAAACCCACGCATGTTTAAACCAATTTCAGCAATATGTTCTTTCTGCTGTCTTTCAGTAACTTAGGCTTGTTCTTCAATTCCAGCTACATTTCAGCATGTTTTTTAGCTTATTTCAGCTGTTTTTCAGCAAGTTCTTCTGCAATGAGCATTTACACTGCATTTTTGCAGGAGATGCAATTTCTCTAGTTCAAACTTGCATCTGTTGATGTTTCAGTTACGTTTTTTTTCCTAATAATAATTTTCAGAAGTGCTGCTGAGCAGAAGCTGAAGGTCGATCATCAAATGTTCGTCTTCAGTTCCTGACAGGTGGATCTCCAGCTTCACTGAATGTTTTACTAATATTTTGGAACATGGATAAACAAAAGCTGCTGGTGTTGTCCTGAATGTCGACTGATACCGTTTTCTGTTGCTGGTGCCGCTCGTTTCACTGATAATATTTGATTTGTGGGACTTTTTGTCCCGCGCCGTAGAGCAGAGGGCAAAATAGAAATACCCCCATCGGTCTGTCTGTGCACGTTGTGAGCACGTTAACGTGAAAAATGAACGAGGTACCGACTTCCAATTTTGTGTGTGACTGCATCTAGGTGTAAGAAAAGTTCCTTTCAAAAATTGGGTTGCCACGTCAAAATCCAAGATGCCTGCCACCATATATATGTAAACTGGGTACACTGATCATTTGCAAAACTATGCTTTCTACATTTTATAATATAATAATTATAATGACTGGGGTGGCCTAAGATCAATCTATGGAGGGCCAAGACCACCCCCAGCTCCTCCAGAAAAACACTCATCTCCAAAACTAAAATCATTAACTATTCAAACCCTTCAGAGACGGAGACATCGGAGTATCGCTCATTTATAACTAATCGTTGTATCTGTAATCTGATGTAAGTGCTTTGGCATCACAGGGTTGCCTTTTGTTGAAAGTTTGAACTCCTTCAAAATAAAAGACTTGTGAGCTGACAGCTGTGACAGCTGTGTTTTTGATCTGGATCTCTGTTTATCAGGATCTTGGTTGTAGATGGGATCAACACGAATGATCAAGGGCACTTACGTTCCTCTAAACAACCTAACAAGATTGCCTCTAGTGTGGCTTTAACCTTCATTTATGGCAAAAGCATCCATTAGCCGCCACTGACCACACAATCTAGGTTTACAAGATGAGAACAAACATGATGATTCTCATGAGAGTATGAGAACACGTGTTTACATACACACAGGGCTGTGAGTGTTTGTGGAAAAGAGCTGAGAAGTCACTTTGCACCGATAACATGGCTGACACAGACTCAGGGTGAGGACTTCCTGGATTAAAACACAAACTGGTTCCTCCAGTCTGCCCTGTGGGTCGCATTCCAGCAGAACTCATAACAGGACGGCTCGGAACAAACAGAACACGAGGCGCTCAGAACTCAAACTGACAGCTCAGCGATGGCATGTGATGCTTTCAGTGGCTGAAACAAAGACGAGAGCGTTCAGGGTGTACAAGACGCGCTCACATTCAATCACAAGCTTCCATTCCTTGAAGGAATGCAGAGCGCCTGCCTGAGCGTCAAGCTGAGATTGTGTTTAAGAGAAACCACCTCATTCGTGTGATGTTTATTATAATCTGAACATTTCTGCATCATTCTCATTATTCGTTGTTTTTCTGCACGTACCTCGCTCCTCAGTTTTTCTTCTCATTAAGTCAAGAAACAAAACGTTCAGCTCATTCAGGACATTCCTGCTGTTTTTTTTTTTGTTTTTTTTGGGGGGGGGGGGTTATACTTATATTTGTCTGCCATGTTTTTCCCATTGAAAATGAATGGAGCTCTCTTCAAATCACATTTTAAGTCAGGGCTGTTCAACTAAACTGCTCGGGGGGGCCACAGTCACTGAAAGCCAAGAGCTCAGGGAACGGACATCCAGCAGTTATGGTCATTAAGTTTGTTTGTTTATGGTTTTAAATCTAGTTTTATTTAAAAAATGAACCCACTGGAGGGCCGAACTGAGCTCACCCGTGGGCCTGATTTGGCCCCCGAGCCGCCAGTTGAACAACCCTGCTTTAAGCTGTTTACAGCCTTTAGCTGCTCGTTGTTCTCCTTCAGATTTTTTCTGCTTCTTTCTGCTAATTTTAGTGTTTTTCCTGCTTTTTCCAACTTCTTTTTAGGTGTTTTGCTGCTAATTTTAGCCTTTTATCTGTTATATTTTATTCTAATTTCAGCCTTTTTTGATTCTTTTGAATAATCTCAACTTATTATGCTAATTTCAGCTCAGTTTATTTGTTTTTAGTTACTTTTTCTAAATAATTTCAGCTTTTTTCTGTAATTTTTTTTTGGCTAATTTCTCTTCTTTTTTAATCTATTCAGTTTTTATTTCAACTTATTTGGCTCATTTCTGTTCTATTTAGCTTTTGGTACACGTTTCTGCTGTTTTTCAGCTTTTATTTTCTTGCTCTCAGCAAACGTCAGCTGTTCAAATTCAACTCTGATGAACAGTTTAGATGTGAAACCTTTGCAGCTGGTTTCAGCAGAAATAATTTACACTGTGTTTTCACAGGAAGTGACATTTCTCTGCTCAGTATAATAAATTCATGCAAAATATCATGCGAGACGGCACCAGATGTGTGGTGAGGAGCACTCTCAGCTACTACCACTGCAAATTTGAGCTGAATATCTGTAAAATTCAATGAGGTACTGTCATCCTTGTGTTTAGCTCATGTTCAGGCTGCTGTTTAATATAACATATTATTTTACATTATTATTGTCTTGGATCCTTATATACAGTTTCTTTTTTTATAATTTATATTTTTGCTATTTTTGGGTGTAACTGGAACCGTGAGTACACCATTTCATTCCACCTCATGTACCACATGTGATGCGAATGACAATAAAGAAGCTGTGGTGGCCATTTTGGTTGGCTCCAAAAGTAGTGGTGCTCTGATACCAATGCCAGAATCTGTATATTCATACTTGTACTCATTTAAAAAAAAAAAAAAATACTTCCAACTGATACCACTTTTATGTTTGTTGATGTCATTTCTTCTTCCACTTTTTAATAATGGAGAACAAAAAATAAAAATGTCCATAGTTTGGAGGTACTTGAAGATAAACGCAGGTGATATTAAGTCAGCAGACTGTTCCTCGTGTCCTCAATAAAAGAAAAGTTTTTAAGGTCTTAGTGTACTAACTCATCAACTACTCAATATTGGCAAGTACCCAAACTGAAGTACTTGAACTCACTCTGAACAAAAACTATCGTAGTACGAAGACAATCTGATCCAAAAGTTAATCAGTTGTAGTTTCAGTAAACTCTCTCCTGTAGTTCATAAGATATTTTGCTAACAGACAGGCATGGTCAAAAGCTCCATCGTGGCCTTCAGCGGCAGGCGATTATGTTTAATAATGAACATAATACTACAAACAATAAACAAGATTATAATAATGGACACATTTCAAGCAACTCGTCTTTGAAAAACATCTAGGTTTCTCTGCCTCGTGAATGTCGGAGTGGTGAAAATAAAAAGGCTCACGCGGACGTAAACACCAAAAAACACAACATCAGCAGCGTGGATCAGAACTGTGAGCTCCTCCACAGTACCTACCCCCCCCCCCCCCCCCCCCCCCCCTCTCCCCCCCCCCCGCCCCCCCCACCCCCTCTTTCTCCTTTTTCTTCTCGTTTTTCCTTC